TGTCTCGGATCCAAGACGCGGCTGGTCCTTTGTCCCGACGCGGATCTTGGTCATCGGTAATGGGCTGTTTGTCGATGGGTCGCTTCGGTAAATGCGTGTGTGATTGTGTGTGTGTGTGTGTGTTTGTGTGTGTGTGTGTGTGTGTGATTGTGTTTGTCTGTATGTGGGTGTGTGTGAGTGGATATAGATAGATATACACAGATACAGACATACATACGCAAGCGAACGCACATACAGAAACACACGCACACACACGCGTGCGCACATACACAAATACACAGACACATACATGCATACATTATATATATATACACACACACACACATACATACATATATATATATATATAGATAGATAGATAGATAGATAGATAGATAGATAGATAGATAGATAGATAGATAGATAGATAGATAGATATATTTATATATATATATATATATATATATATATATATATATATATATATATATATATATATATATATATATATATATATATATGTATATATGTGTATATATAAATATGTGTGTGTATATATATATATATATATATATATATATATATATATATATATATATATATATATATATATATATATATATATATATATATATATATATATGTATGTATGTATGTGTATATATAAATGTGTGTGTGTATATATACATATATATATATATATATATATATATATATATATATATATATATATATATATATATATATATATATATATATATATATATGTATGTATGTGTATATATAAATGTGTGTATATATATATATATATATATATATATATATATATATATATATATATATATATATATATATATATATATATATATATATATATGTATATATATATTTATATATATATATATATATATATATATATATATATATATATATATATATATATATATATATATATATATACATATATACATATATATATATATATATATATAAATATATCTATCTATCTATCTATCTATCTATCTATCTATCTATCTATCTATCTATCTATCTATCTATCTATCTATATATATATATATATGTATGTATGTGTGTGTGTGTGTATATATATATAATGTATGCATGTATGTGTCTGTGTATTTGTGTATGTGCGCACGCGTGTGTGTGCGTGTGTTTCTGTATGTGCGTTCGCTTGCGTATGTATGTCTGTCAGGTCTCTAGTGCCTGCCACGGGTACCATGTAACCCCGTGCTACCTGCCTCATGTAGAGAAGGAAAACTCTGCCATAAACCTCCGCTGCCTTGCGGACGTCATGGGAATGGTAAAGGCTAGGGGAGTAAACCCCAAAAGAAAATCAGGAGCGGAGTCCCTAAGGCGGCTGGCTCATGCAACACATGACCTTCCGGCAACTCCTGCAGCCAACCTGGCACCAACTGTATCGGCCCGTCCTTTCCGTTGGATTTTGCCAGCAAGGTTAGAGAGGGGGGACCTGACGACTGGGCATCCCAGGTCCTCCGAATACTTGCCCTGGCCTGCGCCCTGGAGAGGACACTCCAGTGCCGCATCACGCGGCAACACAACACGGGGAGACGGCAGATACCGGTTAAAAGTCCAGAGCCTATTGGCGTCAGCTCGGACGCCTGGGGCTGTCTCCTGTCGGTGGGAAGGACCATCGCGTCTTAATGGCCAGCTACCGCCCGCCTCAAGCTGGGCAGCCCCCAGCCAATAAGGTGCTGGCCCGTCACAGTCCGTCTACTTCAGTGGGTGCCTGGAGTTTAGGCCAAAAGCCGAAAAGCGGACTGAAACCTCTGCACCAGGAAACAACAAAATTAACAAGCCGCCAGGGCTAAAACTGGCAACCTGGAACGTCAGAACAATGTGTCCTGGCCTGTCTGACGACCTCCAGCAAATCAACAACGCCAGGAAGACCGCCATCATTGACCGCGAACTAAAGAGGCTGAACATTGATATCGCAGCACTGCAAGAGACGCGACTATCCGAGAGCGGCAGCCTGAAGGAGAGCAACTACACGTTCTTCTGGCGGGGGCAAGAGCACCACGAGCGCCGACTCTATGGCGTCGGTTTTTGCTGTCCGGAACACCCTCCTATCCACCATAGAAGCGCCCTCTTCAGGCACACCACGTGTCCTCTCCCTTCGCCTCACCACCTCTTCTGGACCAACCAACATTCTTAGCGTCTACGCCCCAACACTCAGCTCCGCAACCGAGGCTAAGGACCAGTTCTACGAGGAGCTCGAGGCAAAGATCAGGCTGGTTCCCAAGAAGGAGCACCTATTCCTACTTGGAGACTTCAACGCCCGTGTGGGAGCTGACCACAATTCCTGGCCTCGCTGCATCGGCCATTTTGGCGTCGGCAAGCTCAATGAAAATGGCCAGCGCCTCCTTGAGCTGTGCTCCTTCCATGACCTCTGTCTCACCAACACCTTCTTCCCCACCAAGCCCCATCACAGGATGTCCTGGAGACACCCAAGATCTCATCACTGGCACCAGTTGGACTTTGT